ATGTTCGAACTTCTCTCTTCTTCCTTTTTGCACTCTATATTCTTCGCCAATTACTATGTCGCCGACCTGTACACGTACATATTATAACTGTTGTAAAGCTGTATCTCACGACTAATCACATCTTCTTTTTTGCACCATTGAAAAGTAAAAAAAAAAAAAATATATCCCCTTTTTGCTCTTACCTCGTGTCTAGTTTTCGGGAAAACTTCCTGTACTACCGGCTAGACTCTAGCCCTATCCGGCGTCTACCCACTTCTACCAATCTCTCTCAGGACCATGGTGCTACCCATTGCTCCCAACTGTGAAGCCGACACATTACTTAACCCACTGTCGCGTTCATTACCAATGTCCATTAAAAGTTGTACAGGTAAGAGTTTTCGCGTGCTAAACAAAAATAAATAAATAAATAAAATACAATCACCCTTCTCGTTGTCGATGTGGCGGACGCAGGCACGTCTCGTGGCGGCGGGAAGTGACGAGGTGACGTGTAGAGGGTGACGAAGAAAAATACAGCGTTTTCAAAAACTTGCCCACTCACCGTATCCTTATTTCTCGCGTCATTTGCCAACGGCTGCAATTTCAGGTCACGTATTATTTTTCCTCGGTTGTATTTTTTTTTTTTTTTTATAAATTTTTCGTTTTCTTTTTTTTCGCCTTCTGTATAATCTGTGAGGTGTCGGCCCAGCCTTCACTTCTGATTAACCGATTTCCATCAAAAAATAATAGCTGGTGCACGCTGTTTAAAAGATTTATATAATATACAAAGCAATTCAACAAGTATGCTCACCTCCACGTCTTCCTCTAATAATGAAAATGTTTTTAAAAATGCTTATAAGGACCATATTTTCCGATTATTTAGATTTTTATAATATTTAAAGAGTATTGTACATCAATATAAACTAATTTTTATCAAATAAAAACCAATTTATTTTACAGTAAAATATTAAGTGGTTGACTTTTTTTTAAATCTGAGTGTAAACTAAATCAAAATTCCAATGACTGTTTTAAAAATTATTAAAATAATGTATAAACCGAGTTATTAAAAAACGCCACTTAATGACATAAAACATTTTAATATTAAAAGTGTTTTAAAATATAGAACTTAAGTTTATTTAAATGTTTTAAAAATTAAAATCTAATTAAATTCATTATTAAAATAAAATATGGATGGAGGTCCACATACCTGGACATACTTAATAAATCACTCTTTGTATTTTAAACGTTTAATTCTAATAAATAAACCGTAAATTAGGGCATATGCGTATGATGCATTATAATACATAATGTATAATATTATTCAATAATTATTTGTTTATCATTTATGTATCTTACAAACACATTGATAATCTTATATGCTGCACATGCTATACACACATACGTAAAATCTAATAAAATTGCAGAATTAACAACATTTTATCATGTTTAAAACATGATTCAGCCGTCAGATATTTTATCATTTGAGATATAGAATAGACTTCGTTGAAAGATTTTTTTTTTTTTTTTTAACTTACCTGCACCGATTTTATTTAGCAACTTCTATTATTCTAAAAATAAAATAAAATTTAGTTCAATAATTAATTACTACAACTCTTTTTTTCTATTGTAAAATTTATATCAATCTTTATTTTACCACGAATCAAGCATGTTATGGTATAATATAGTTAAGTGAAAACTTTAAGTCATTTTCGGCGAATGAATAACGGGCAAAAGATCGGCTGTCAGACTTTTACGTACTTTTTTTGCTTGTAATTTTTATGTTCTATATATTTATTTTCAGCGGTATGATTCGACGGTATTTCTACTAAAACCATTCGCCGGCTATTAATAATTTATTGTAATTTTTTTAATAATCACGCCATGTTTACCTTATTCATATATTTTAAAATGAAGACGATTTTATTGATTTTATTAACATTTGTATGTTTGAATATGTTTATCGATTTATTAATTGTTTGTTAAACTTAACCTCTATCCTCAGTATTTATGTATATAATTATATAGTTTTTAATTTAATCGACGTATCATATTATGAATACAAAATATAATTACTGGTTAATGACATTCTTAATGTAATCAAATTACCTATTTAAAATAGTTTTTAACTTAAGTTTTCAGTTTTTATTCGAAACAACAGTGTTTGTTGACGTGTTTCATTGTTTGTACATGGTATAAAATTAAAAATTACATTTTAAAGGCTAAATCAAAATATAGAATATTATGTGGAATTTTAAATAATATTATGGTGGTTTCAGTTTATACAAATATAAAAATAAATGGTTTGATATAAAAAAGAAATAAAAATTATTTTTATGTGTACATGTAATATATTTTATGCCAATACTATATTAATGTCGTATAAATTCTAAAAATCACTTCAATCATGCTCACAAAGTATCAATGCAGATAGAAATATTTCTTCAAAATGTACGTATCTCACTAATTTTAATATACACATTTTTTAATGTTATTAAAACGAAATAAAGTTAAATATAATATTCTAATCATGACAAAAATAACAATATGTTAGTGATCAATCTATATTTATAATTATATATACTGTGTGAAATGATAAATATTTGGTTTTTTAATGATGCATAGTTTTTGGTATGTGTCTTTCTTTACTATATTTTTGAAAAGCTTCAATATTTACTTTGAGAATTTCTGATAGAAAATTAATTCTTATTGTGATTTTAGTGATTGTAAGCTAATAATTTTCAATTTTTTTAAATTATTTTTTTTAAAATACTAGTTTTTTTAAGAATTGATTTTGTTTTCATTCAAAAACGAATAACTGTAAAAACATGAAATTTTCACCCAATATTTATATTCAAATTTAGAAAAATAAAATACATAATACTTTCAATACTTAATATACATTTTTAATCTCTTACAATATTTTCTCTATCGATTTTAAATTATTAATTTTTACTTTTTTGTACATTTTTTGCCATTATTGGTAATTAATAAACATTTTGATGTCAAATATTATTTTAGCATAATATTTATGGTATTATATTTTTGTTGAAACTTGAGCGACGACTTATGAAATTATGTTTTACCATGTATTGGCAATAAAATATTTCTTTAAAGTTTAAATTCGTCATAAATCATAATGATCAGAATTTCCAACGATTCAAAGAACACAATGGTAAGTAACTATAATTATATTTGTTTTTTTCTGAAAAATTTAAATTTTAATTTTAATATTTAAAAAATTTTACGAAATAAATAATTAAATCCTAAAATTATCCAATTAATATAAAGGTAACGGAATTTAATTTTTAAGATATGAAATAAATTACTTGGTAATATAATAGAATATATTATTCTAATCAGACAGTTTTATTTTAGAAAAGTTTTTGAATATCTAAAAGTTTCAATCAAACAACTCCTCTTCTAAAGTTCATTCAAACTAAACCATAACGAAATTTAGGTGAAGTCAATTAAAAGCATTATTTCGTAACTCCTTCTAAAGCTTTATTAGGTACTCAAATCATACCCCTGTTTGTAGGTTCTATAAACGTATGGAATAATTTACTTACTTCTACTCCTTGTAAACTGATAATATATAATTTTCATTATTTAATTTTTTTATAATTATTCATTCGTTAACTTTAATTTTAATCCCCACTAAAATACTTAAAATCTAATAATAATATTATGTTAAAAGTAATAGTCAAGTTAGTCATGTGATAATCATTTATATGACAGCAAGACTTAATTAGTAAAAAAATTACCCCCGCTAACACGAAATACACGTCATTAAAATAATTAAAAACAGTAAGAAAATCCGTAAATCATAATTTTTAATTTTGTATGCAAATATCTACCTATAAATTAGAAGAAAAAAAATATTGTTGATTATGTCAAGAGTGACGAATTTTCTTCCGTAGCTATAATTTTATACAATGATTGTTATTTGCTTTAATGTTGTTACGTGATTCAATTTGTATAAAAGTTAATTAGATTTCAAAAGCCGATAATGCAATAAAACACTGCGCTAATCGTCTGGACGTAATATAACGTCAAAAACTCAACAATTTTGTAAAAAAAAAAGTATGAAAAAACATACCACAAGCACTTACGTTTTGACAAAACGAGCATGGTTTAGATTTTCTAAAATACATGCATGCTACCTAATTGAATGTAAAAAAAAAAATTCTTTTAATTAACAAAATAGATAAACTTAAAAAGATTATAATAATTGTACATTTAGGTATACAAGATAAAATTTTTGATTTAATAACGTAATTTTTTCCTTGAAATATTTATATTTTTAGAGTAAGTGAATAAATAAATATAACAACAAATTTTTAAACAAAAATTCTAAATCTAAACCAAAAGTGCTTATTTGAAACTTTTTAAGAGTCCCCTACAACAAGGTTAAATGTTGTGTGCCTTTGTTCATACACAATGTCTATAGTAGTAGTATAAAACTATACAATTACGTCATGACCTATAGGTATACGGCTCCAATAGGTAATGTCTGTATAATTCTACTACACGTTAAGATCCATGAAATTGAACCACGTGGTTGGATTTAAATGTAAAATTATACTATATATTTAATATGTTACAACTCATACTTGTATACTTTATTCTACGCGTGTAAAGTCATTATTGTTTTTTAATAGTTTAATGGTATAATTGAAAGTTCGTAGTAAATCACTTAGACGTGCATTATGTACCCACCTCAGTGTATCGAAATATGAGTTAGCGGGCGAGTGCACTACCGTCCTAAGTCTTTATACAACTTATGCGCGCATAGGTATTACTATTATTATTATGTATACAGCGCGCGTGGTCACGTGGGTATGACGAGGAAAGCTTTTGTAAAACCGCTTTCGAAAAACCAATTTTAGCGAATCGATTTCAGGCAATTTAATGTGATATTTATATTGCGTACGATTTTTACATTTTAATTTTGTTATGAACTTTATTTATACGTTAAATAAACTAGTATATAATATAAAAAAAATCGTAATATTTTTGCATTTCAGACCGGGTACTTGGACGTGCGGATCCCACCAAATATATTGGATGAGGCAGACATCGAAGGCCCGGGTAGCGCGGCCATGGAAGGTGGTACCATAAGGTTGCGGTGCCGGTCCACCGGGAAACCAGAACCAAAAGTTCATTGGAAACGCAAGGACAACCGTCACATCGTCATTCGATCCGACGGGGCTAGAGAAAAACAAGGTTTGTGCGTATAAATAATCTGTTGAATAAATTAAGTTAGGTTAAACCAAATAACTGAAAATAATAAATATTAGAATTGAATACTTACCAGAACCTCATATGCTGCAATGTTTAATTTAAATTTCTAATACTTGTATAATTTATAATAGTAAAAATAATTTAGAAATAATTAACAATGAATGTAAAATATGTTTCTTTTTGCTGTCGAAAGCAAAAATTGTTGATTGTCATGAAATCAATTGTCATATACTGTCATTATGGGCAAAATTTAATTGTTTAAAAAATACTTGGTTAAATATTTTTTGTTAAATACATATATTATATTGGAAACACACAAATCACATATTGTATATGTGTATTATGATAACATTATTTTGGTCCGTTTGAATCCTTTCGCCATAATAACCAAATAAACATAAAGTGTGCAAAGAAGTGGTCGTGTGTTTGAAAAAATTGAAAATAATGATATCAATCCAATCGTTTTTTAATTACACCGAATCACGCTGGATTTTCCTTCTACTTATACCACTCGTACTAATAATACTAAAGTACTACTACTAATACTTAACAAATGCCATTACTATTACTACCACAACTGGTGACTGATGGTGTGTATCATCACAACACAATAGTTTGACGTTCGCGTTCAAGACGATTTTTCCAGTTTAATTCACGCTCAGTTTCAAAAAAATATTAACTCGGTTTAAAAACAAACCCGAACAGAAAATTGAAGAAAGAGCGGAAGTACATAGTAAAGTTATATAAGTGAATGTTCTCTATATACATATATATTATTTTTCCTTATTTTTTTCGCAGTAGTCTGTTTTTCTTACACCAAGCACGAGAAAAGAGAGAAAGAAGAAAAAAAAGAAAACGATACCCCGTCTGAACCCGACATCGTTCTTGGGAAAAACTGTTTCTCGCCCACAGCTCTGCACCCCTTCCCAGCGACGTCTCAGAGACCACTTTCCTCCGCTCGAACACCCCGCGCGTCGTTCGTGGCTCTGCCACCCAACCTCGTAGCCCCTAAACCACGTGGTTCCGTCCGTGGCTAGCAATAAGAAATCAGTCGTTTGTAACGAACAAAGACAAATGTTATAAAAGGCCGCCGCCACCACTCACAAACCGACCCTTCTCCATCATCCATCCACACGTTTACGCGGCAAGTACGCCACTAACCGAAAGCCACAGCCGTCCACCCATCCCCGTCCAAAGCCGGTGCGCGGATATCAAGCGGCAAATAAAAATCCGCTGTTATTTGTCAAAACTTTGAACCGGAAGCGACTCTATTTATATTTTTATGTGTATAGTATACATTGTATACGCATATACAACATTACTTCCTCCTGTACTGCCACACCATCACTATTAATGTTATACTATATGATGGTAGATATAATGTGTATATATATAATATACATAAATATACATATACAATATAAATATGTATACACACACTCATCTTGCAGACTATATGTTATATATATCATGTATAAATTATCCTGCCAAAGCATACGACCGATCATGAATGTACTTAGATCAAAAAACCATTTATATTGACCTTTCTATGTATATACCTATAGTTATCTTAATAATACATTTTTATACACGAGGTCATCAAACGTCGTACGATTTTCGACTTGGCCTGACTAAAGTATGATACGATGCACCACCCCCTCTCCCTTCACAACATACACGCACAGCGGAATAGTTGACAATCGCACCATCTGTATCAAGAACGTATCGCGAGAACCGCCCTCGTTGTCACATAATATATGTACAGACTGTACATATTACGCTCAAATCCTAAGACTTTTATTCGCATACCTGGAATCATTTTATGTATATTGTTGTTTTATTATTTATTATTCCATTAAATTATAGTTGATTTTTTTTTCGGCATAATAATACAATAATATGACGATTTGAATGCGATCGTTTTTAAACGCACTTTGTGTACAAGTTAAATAAGCGAGAAACGTATTTGTTTTTAAAATAGTTCAGTGGAGTAAAGATAATTATACTTGGTTTTATATTGTTTTTTTCTTATAAATATAAACTGCATTATTTTACCATCCACTATATTTTATTATAACACTTTTAATGTATCAAAATAAAAAAACTTAATTTATTTTTACAATTTCGCATCAGCGAATTAATTTTTATAAACACGTTAAAATAATTTTTAATAAATATAATATTTTAAATTTTTATATCTTGATAAAAACATTTGTACTAAGTACTAGCTTTTATAAAAAAATAATTTTAAAAATGTTTTAATTTTTTATATATTATATATATATTTTACATACAATTTAGCCCTCAGCAATATTTATTCATGCATATTGTGGAAGTTGTGAGAATTGTCAGTTACATTTCAACGTAAACTTATATTTAATTTGTATGTTCGTGTGTTTTCTTTTACACAGTAAATTAAAAATATTTAATAAAAAAAATCTTTTTCATAGTTGTGTTACGTATTTATATACAATAAAACTATGTTTAATAACATAGTTATACAACGCTCTGTTCCTATAGATGTTTATTGCAGTTATAAACTAATAAAAATACTTTGCCCTACCTAATAAAACTTAGATCACTGTCTACAATAACAAACGTAAAGGATATCACCGATCGATAGAATATTTATACATATCAAGTATCTCATCGGCCTCCGTGTTAGTTATTGTATATACTATATTGTCTATCGCCTATATAACTTGCTTGTAATAGAGTACACTTTTATCCATTTTCTCCACCAAAGCTTCAAAAATATAAAAAGATTAATGAAAATTTTTAATTTAACTTTAAAAATATAAACATAAATTAAAATAGATACAAGAAAATAATAAAAAAAAATCATATATATTTCACTAAGCACGATATGTGATATAATTATAAGAAATCAGAAGTTGTTAACATTTTTATTTTTTATTTTTTATTTCATGAAAAGTCTTTGATCATGTTTTTACAGCTGAAAATATATTCCAATAACATAAAAATCTAAAAAACAAAACAAATTGTCATCTTTCTATTTTTGGCTATATAGATTATTTTTTGATATCTTAAAATAATTTTAACCATTATTCGCCATGTTTTTTATTTATAATTTATATCCAATTTTACAGTTTATAAACTAATAGTAAATAATTTTAATAAAATGTTAAGACTATTATTATCATTATTTATTTGACAAGAATACTAAATATCCATAGGTAATTTTATTATTATACTTATTAATAGACTTTTTCATAAAAAAAGAATTATACTAATAATTTTTATATTTTATTAATTGCAAACATTTAATTTATAAAACTATTTGCACAAATCATCATCTGTTTTATCATTTTCGTGGCTTTTAAATTTTATTGAACGCATTTTTTTTAAATATTTTTTGTTGCATCAACTTCCAAGCTCAGATAATTGTATGTCACGTGTAATATTATGGCTTAATGATAAGTATTTTAATAACAACTTGCAAAATATTATTATAACTAATATTATAATGCTATTTATTACTCGTATTTTTATATTTCTTAGAGTCGGCCACTGTTAAGGGCGACACGTTGGAGCTTAGCAACGTGCACCGGACCGACATGGGCAAGTATCTGTGCATAGCCAAGAACAACGTGCCGCCAACTGTCAGCAAAGAATTCAACGTTCAAATACACTGTAAGTCTTGCGCCGAGATCGAAAGATTCGCGTTGTTCGTTAACGTATTGCGCGCGCGCGCACACACACACACACATAAAGCATTTTTTAACACCCCAGTAAAAAAGAAACACTTGACGGCAGAATTCCGTGAAAATCCATTATGGGTATTTACACTGGTTATACATATACGTATGTGCGTGCGTTTTTGTGTATGCATGAAGTGCGTGGTAGTGGTGGTGGTGGTGTGCAGCGTGCACGTCTGTACGTCTGCCGCGTCCCATTGTTGCACGATACGATCCATTAGGGGAAAATTTAATTTAGTAATAACAACGGATTTACCGTCGCCTCCGTCATGTACATGCATGTAAATCTACTAAAATGTTTATAATATAATATTTTAGTACGTTTACCATTTTACCATATGCCATATTGTATACCTTTGTGATTGTTATTATTACCGTCGTGACCAATAATCTCACGGTTTCTGCATTTCCACAACGGCCGTGTCGTCGAGGATTTACCGATTTCTGTTTCAGTTCATCCGATGATCAAGGTGACCAATCAACTAGTGGCCGCGCCGACCGGAAGCAACGTACACATTCAGTGTTATGTTGAAACCTCGCCGAAAGCCATGCACAGCTGGGTCAAAGTAGACGGTAAGTCTATGGTTTAAGAGTAGAAAATTCAAGTGACCTATAATGTTGGGGTGAGATTAATAATAATATTATTATGTAGGTCGGTACCTTTATTATATAGCAGGTATTCAATATGTCCGGGTTATGTGTATGGATTATAAAACATTATTTTTGTCCCAATTTCAATTTCGACTACTGCATGTAGTCCATTAACCATTCATAACAATAATGCTGATCGAAGCATAAAACTGTTAAAAAAAAAAATAAATAAATAAAAATTTCCGTGCTTTTGTTTCCCAGTTTCAAATGTTTCATTAATTTTTTGGATTTAAAACACAGTTTATATTTTTCGTTCTATTTTATTATAGACTCACACTTTTTACTTTATCGTTTTGAACCGATTTTAATTTTTTAATATTGGTTAATATTTATAATGATTTCTATTTTTAAATCGGTTGTTACCTTAATTCAATATTTGTTTTAAGACAATAGCCTTAAATATCTCTTAAACTTATAGTCTCAGGTTGTACAATAAATAAATAAAATAACATTAATTCTTACTTTAGAATCAAATGAAATCATATTGTATAGGCATTCCCATTACAACACTAACAAGAAACAATACTTACCGTATCAATAAAATACCTCGTAGGCCTCTATTGGGTGATATCTGTATTGTAATAATAATAAATTTAGCGTCTAGTTTTAGGTAACAATATTTTTTTGGTAATATTTACCCATCTATTTTTTATTGTTATACCGGTTATCAACTGAAGATAATTAATTTTGAAAAATGTACCTATGTTATTAGTTATTACTAATCATTATTATACTTGAGACATAATAGCATAAGTTAAACTAAACACTCTTATTATCTCACAGTTTTACAATCTTATATTTTATATACCTACAATTGCATAACAATGTTCGCATACTTCACCATTTACCTATACAGCTATTCATTACATACACTGCACGATTTTATTACTCATTGGTCACCCGTGGTAAAGTAAAAATAGATGAGGTTCATACGATTCCATTTAACTGAGATCGGTAGCTTGTGACTAGTTGCCACATTGTAGTTGGGTTGTTATTTGATTTATAATACTTCACTACTTTAGTGATCACCAGGGACAATACACTTAGTCGCAGTAGTTAATAACTCGTTTACCATATCGTTGGTTTGTATCAAATCAAATCCACCATTGTATCCAAGAGTCGGAAAAACGGCGGTTATGTTATGCATAATATGCTTTTTATTTTATGTTTTAAGACTTTGAAATCTGTTTCCAATATTATTTCGTCTTTGATTTTTTTTTGTTCACGTTGTTCCATTGTTTAAAAAAAAAAAAGTGTTTAAGCGTGTCCCACCAAATGCACTTGATACAATGTCTAATATAATATATACGTATGTTGTAAACGACGGACGGTAATGATGTGTAGAGGAAATTTTCAAAATATTTTCTCAATAATAACAGAAGAGAAATAGCGCCTGCTAATAAATACTAAGCCCTTAAGAAATTTTTTTACAAATAATTAAAAAAAAAAGAACTAAGAAGGGTCGAACATTTATTGATTTTGCGTTTCTTTTGATTAAATTACTATATCTGAAGAGCTAGAAATAATAATGACCATAAAACTACTGTATACTGCACCGTCTGCACTTCGAACACACCTAGCGATTTATATTATTTTTACAAATGTACATTGTTAACATACTTTGATTTGGTATAAACTTTAAAGCGTGGATCGTATAAGTGTATGTGCAGGATAGGTGGAGAGTGTACTATATTTATAACAAGTGTGTGAAAACGTAAAATTAAATGAGAAAGGTTTGCGTTTAATAGAATAAGGCATTATATTACATCATAGTAAATGTATCTCGATGATAATAGTTATCGCCCTAATACTTTTTCGACAGTGGACTACACGTCAATTTCACCAACTAACCGCACAATATTTCAAGTTGTGAACGATAACGGTAAAAGGTGTCGCACAGCCAAAATTATAAAATTAGTTTGAAACATGTTTCATATATTATTATTATATTCATCGCTTTAGGAGGTTTCTGGTTAGAAATAGTTCAAGCCTCCCGTTGACTTTCAAGAGTGTGGTTAAGTTCCACGTGCAGTAGGTACCTACCCACATCTTTTGGGCGCAATCTAATTTTGAATGAACAAGTTGTCCAAGTTATTTTAATAACATACTAAAATATATTTTACAATATTTAGAAATGAAATGAGTTAAATTCAATGATAATAAAATTAAATTTATAATATCATCGAAAAAAATTACATTAATTTCACTAAAATTTAAAAAAATAATATTAAAAATGATTTAATAAATTAAAAGTTAGAATTTTACGAAGTCACATATTATGCGTATTCACATACATGGTTATTCCGAATCTCGTGCATTTAACACTGCTCTTTTTTTTAAATGATCGATTTGTGCAGAATATATTTAATTTTGATATATATTTTCTTTTAATACTATAAGAAATGACGGAGTGTTTTTTTCAGCAAATCAACTAAGATCATAATTAATTTTCAAAATCATATTTTTACACTTTAATTACTACTATAGTTTTGTCGTGATATTTGTACCTGTTTTCTCTCCGCAGTAAAAAAAAATGATACCTTTCAATATCAGCTGTTACATGTTAAAAAATTAATTCTAAACATTTTGTGATCGAAGCTACTTGACCGAATATGTCTATTCTATAAGTAGACATTTGCTGTAGAAATAAAATGTATTTTTAAGAAAGATTTATTTTTTAATATAGTGTGTCAACTTTAAAAATAAAGCACATGTCACTTAAATGGAACAATCGTTTCGTACTAGATCTATGTAATAAGAATTTGAAACCAAATAGTGATTTAAAATGGCTATTATTTTCTTCTCATTGTTCAACATTTGAATTATGCGCGTTTTCTCAACTTCCATTAAGTATGTATTATGGAGGTATCTACATTATATAAATTAGTTTTAATGAATTTCGGACTTTTTCTTCAGGTTAAACTATCGGCCCGAAAAACGATGGCCATCGTTGAAATCCTCGAATAAGCTTCTGCCACGGCAAGAAATAAATAACATTATGTACGTAAACCACATCGGTCCAGCGGTGGCTAAATCCTATGATCGTTCACCTATTTATATATATACGGTCATCGTCGATAAAACTATCCTTTCCTAGTCGTTTTTTTACGATTTATATTCTTGATATTTCTATACCAGTCGATATTATACGGTCTATATATTATACTATTTATACTACACGTCGTATTACGACATATAAGTATTTGTGATTGTTTGTGTGCGTATCTATTTTTTTTCATCCGCCTTTTCCCACTGCACGAGATTTGTGTGTAGTTGTCGTCTCGCACACAATATGTGGACATTTACGACCAGCGTTGGGCGGGGTGGCAAGACCAACAGGAAAGAATATCGCTTTAATGTTTTTATTCTGATTGTAAGGGCGGTGAAAACTATACTATTTACACGCACGCACACTCTCGGGTAATAGGTATACCATTTGAAAGGGGAGATGGTGGCGGTGAGTCGAAGAAATCTTTGAATATATATATATATACACATCCAATGCGAATCGCGGTGCGGCACGGCACGAAGGGTGTGAGCTTTGGCGACACATGTTATGTTTTCACCGTCTTTAGGATCATAAAATCTACGTTTCCGGTACAGTCATCCTCTCTTCCGGTGTCTCCTACTACCCTTCCCATCGCCCCACCAAGACCTTTACGAATACGATAACGACATGGAGAATTTTTACGCAAAACCCACACCTTATATGCATTTGCTCGTTTATAGTCCTCTCCACGTCCACCTCTAACGCGCCAGGCACACCTTTCCCTAATCTTACCCTTTATAATAGCACCGTTTTCGATCGTTTCCTTCGTAATATATAAATATATAACTACTGCAGTTTACTTACTCGCAGTATTTCGACGTAAAACGATTTTCCTTTTACATTGATATTGGTATTGGAAAAAGTTCCGAATTTGAGAAAAATGGCAAAATATAATTGGTCAAAACTATTATAATCATTAATTCCTACCAAGTATTAATTGAACATTTACATGTTATACATAATTGCATTATATTAATTTGAAATTAATATTATTTTTTTTAATCGAACGATACTATCACTATTTAAGTGATTAAATTTAAATATTCAAACAGATTATTTCTGTTGTAAATATTTATTGTTACCATTTTTTAAGTTTTTACTTTTTTGAATGACATTGCATATTTTTAATTTCGTATTCTAAAACGGAATATTAATCAAAGTTGTTCAATCTATAAATATCAAATTTCGAACAAATAAGGAGCTTAGAATAATGGAGTAGTAGATCAACACTGAGAGTCTCTTGTACGTATCATTCTACTCCGCTAATCTAAACTTTAAATACATATAACTAATTACCTACTCATTTAAAATTTAATCATTATGTATAAAATATACTCTGAAAAATATTCTACATTGGAATATGAAATAAAAAATATATGCTATCATTTAAAAACCAAAGAATTAAAAATTATATTGTAAATATTGTAAAATATACAATTTTTATTTTTTTTTACAAAAATATTATTTGGAAATTACATCAAGTTATGTAAACAAAATATTTTCAAAAAAGTTAGAATTTTTCATAATGAGTGTAGCCAATTTCACGGATCACCTTGCACATAGTATAAGGTAAAAGTAACAAATATTGTTTATTTGAAAAATATTTATTTTATTTATTTACTTCTATCACTCTATTTTTTCTCTTTCTCCATTACAAAATTATTAATTAAAATGTACCTACATAATAAACAACTTTTGAATCACAGCAAAAATAATTAAAAAAATTAAAAAATAGCTACTTATTTTTCTACAATATACCCAGTACAAAAATTGCAATCACTTTAATTTATATTTCTTACTTCATTCTACATTCAACATCTAACAAATGTCATCAAGAGATCGCGAGTAGAATATATTCAGTAAAATAAATAACATTTTTAATTTAATAGATGTTTCGAAGAACATAAAAAAATGTACTCAATAATGGAGAAAATCTGATACTGACAGATACTCTCATCACAAGAATTCTATTCAAAATAACTCGTATTCAATAACGCGATCGTGGAATCTTAATAGAAATCGTAACCACTAAAGCTTGAGCTATTGATTTTTGCATATTATCAAAGGCGTTATTTTGGTGTTGTTTTTTTCAATTGGTCCCAGTGAGTCAATTTTAATATTTTGACCTAAAATTGTTGTGCCAATTATCTTAATTATTAGATTCAAAAACATATTCAAAATAAAATAATATCAATACATATACGATACATGTATAGGTACCTATAATATTTTGATCATTAATTTATTCAAAACTCAAAAGTTCTACAATGTTCTTCAAACGTTCGTAACCTCAATCTGGAATCTTTTTATATTTTGACAGAATAATATCGATTGGACGTGATTAAAGTTTACGACATACGTAAAATAGAACACTCTATGTATGAAGTGAGAAATTATCTTGAGGCTCTCTTTAACAATATAGATATAATAATAAGGGTTCGTAGGATACACGTAATATTTTGTTTTATGATAAAAATCAAATCATTGTATAGATTCAACACCGGGAATTAAGTTTTTACTAAAATCAAGTAAATTGAGTAAATTGTTTAATTTATATTACAATTTTTAATACTTATTTAATTTAACTAATTGAAAAGTTAGATTATAAATTATCATAATTTAGAATAAAATAAATATACACTGTACATATAAGAAATACCTATGTATATATAGGTAATACATAAAAAGTAGAAAAATTAATACATTTTAGAAAAAACACACAATATTGCTGCTTTAATTATTTGTTTTGATAATTTTTAAATCTTCCCAGAACTAAAAATTATAAAGATTACAATTAAACAATACGTCTATTTTAAACTCATATATCATAAAAATAATAAATAATAAAAAATACAAAAATTAAAAACCATTTGAACAAAAAATATTTTTAGTTTATAATATTAATCAGAATCAGAGATTTTTTAATTTTACTTCTTCGTAATAAACGTGACATTATTTATAAAAACTTCATTAATTTTATATTTTAAACACGATTACAATAGGAAACGTTCTCGAAAAAGTACACACTGAATTTAAGTTGTAGTCAAAACAATTTTTTCTTTTAGATTTATTTATTAGTAATAAACAATCTATACAAGTAATGTACTATAAGATTATGTGTTAAGAAAATACAGGACGTGAGAAATTGAATAAGAAGCCACCCACTGGCAACACTTAACATGAATTATTTATATATATATATTTTAATTGTTGATGGTTGAAATTGTATATTATACATATAATATGTATATAGTATATTTTAATTTGGTAATTGTAGGAGGTCACGACACTATTTCCTTTTTAACTTGCGCCTTGGATTTCCTGAGAGAGTCAGAGAGGAGAGGTTTTTAATAAAAGAATTTTGGTAGGATAGAAGTCGAATGCGGAAGCGCAAGTAAAAGGATTGAGCTTCTTCATTGATGGTTTTCATGTGAAAATCATTATGTAATGTTACGTTTGAGACGTGTGGTGGTGCATTGGAGAGTCGACGAAGAGCTAGGTTTTGGAATACTTGGATTTTATTGGTATTGGATTTTTTTTGCTGAGCCCCAGAACTGAATGCCATAAGTCCAAATAGGTTTCAGGAGGGTTTTGTAAATTAGAAGTTTGACTTTTAGATTGATATTATTATTTTTCAATATTAGAGGACTGAGGATGCACATATGGGCATTGAAAATTTTAAAATTTAAATAGATAAATATTATTTTGTATCATAGGACTTTTAGAGAATCCTTGTCATAAATGTTTTAAACAGTCATTAATAACAGGCTATTCCGTGGTGTAACAGCAAGTATCGTATTAAAAATACCTTTCACAATGAAAAATAATCAAAATATAAGTCTTAAAAATAAACCAAAATGAACATTTTCCATAGCCTATTTTGACCTATGATAATATTAAAATTTAAAATATAAGTGTTAGGTACATCTAACATAGCCCGCTATGTACATCACAGTTCATAGTGACTTCAAAGCCATTACTCATCTTATGCTCTCCTACTTTACGTATACCTACTCCAAATAATTTCAACTCCTTTCTCTCTCAAAAGTCTCATACCGTAATAAATTCCAACCACTCTTCCACAATATATCCCAAGACCATATTCATTCCTTTTATAGCCTGCTCATTAAATAGAAACATAAAATATATAATGTAAAACTTTGAGAGAAATGTAATTTTGTTAAACGCAAAGTTTAATTTCTGAAATTATCGTTATTTTAAATAGGAGGGAAGTATATACTATCAGTGGCTATATAGATACCTAGTTTATTCATTGAACTATTATTTAATATATTACTATATGCATAGACAATTTTCTGTATAAAATGGTGTAAGATTTAACTACGAAAATAATTTGACTAGGCATAAAAATTCATCATAACCATTATTATATTTTTTTTTAATTTAAATAATATCGTAATAATTAATGTGTACTATGATGTTTTGTCTAATCACATCAACATTGTTATTCAAGATTTTCTAAAACAATTGGTTTTTAGTTTTTACATTAAAAATGTATTTAAATTTTATTTCTAAATTATTTTTATTTGTTTAATATTATTTTTGATATATTATTTATTATTTGATTATTCATTTTAAAATAAATATATAATCTGTATGCATAAATAAGTCATTTACGCTGTTAATAATAATATTAAAAAAAAAAATTTTAAAAAATATTATAACTATTATTATGAAAAAGCTAATCATTTATATTATCAACTGTTTTTAATTTTATCACTAGGTGGTGATCTCATGCCCAACACCAAGTACAAAATGTCGGAGACTCCCATAAACGAATATTCATTGCAAATGGACCTGACCATAACAAACCTTGAACCCAAAGACTTTGGTAGCTATCTGTGTATAGCTAAAAACGCTTTGGGTATAGCCGAAGGATCCATAAGGCTTCAAGGTGTGTTGAAATATCAAACTTTTACCATTTACGATATCGTGTATTTTATCGTATAGTATAAATTTAATGTGTCCTTTGAACACATTGAATCATTGATACCAATACCTATAAAATAATTTAATTTATAGCACCTAAACGTATTTTTCCATTTCACGTGTTTTCAATTATATATTAAATTATTATTTAACCCTATTAGCACTGACGAACATAAAAAAACAACATATTTATTTAAATCATATGTAACAATTAATAACTACGAACATTTATAAATATACGAAATATTCAGATATTATAACTATTATCAATAGATAACGTACGTTGAAAATCAAACTGTTAATTTACTACTGTTAACTATTAATATACACTATTATATTATTTAAAAATATGTAGTACACATTGTTCCTCATACCTAAGTATTTAATACTGAAACCAAAAAAATATATAAACACAATTTTTTTTATTTACAATTTAAATTCAAATTTGGATGATATTAAATATTTAAACTTTTGTTATTTTGTTTTAATTCAGAAATATTTTTCATCGGGATTTAAAGTTTAACGTAAATTACTATAATTTTATACTGAATAACATGATTAAAACATTTAAGTTAATTTTATGCTATTACTAATTTATACCATAAACCCATTCTATGTCAAGTCACTCTTGACTTAAAAGCTAATAAAATTAATGTATACTTTAAACATAATAATACTTATACTATAATAATAATTAAATATTAATAATAAAATAAATCCATTGTTTTAGACAAAAATTAATTTAACCAACCATAGTATTAATAATGAAATAAACTGAAATAACATAAATATAAATTTATAATAAGATATAATTGGTAATATATACTGCTAATAACGCCTTCGCTTTACAATTTTTTATCACTGAATTGAGATTTAAGAATTTTAATGACTTCTATAAATTGATTCACTTAACACTTACTATTTAAAATGGTAACCTTTTCCCGCATTTTTATTTAATTTAATTTATAATATTGGATTTATAGTTTAAGATTGAATTATTAAGTCTACTTTTATAGTATACTTTATGTATTACTATACATTTTTAATTAGTATTCACCAATATTATTTTGAATCATTTAAATTAAACTTTATTTTTACATTAAAAATGACACTTTCTAATTGAGATTAAGTAGACATTTTTCAACTTTACATTTCAAATTGCATATTGTTTTTAAATGACAATAGCTTTCAATAATGATTGGATATTGTTCTAAAGTTCTTCAACTTTAATTAATGCATTCAATTTCCTTAAGATATCTTTATTTTAATAAAAGTCAGTTGATGTTATTAAATCAGAAACTAGTATACAATAAATATCAAAAATGAAAAACCCATTAAATCTTATTATTCTTTGAGATTAGTTTTCTTTATATAATTAATAATTCAAACACTCGAATGGTTAAAATATGCAACATAAAAAAAAGGTAGGCAAGTGCTGTGCGGTAGGTGTCGAGTGGGTCGCTGTAATGGATGTGTTAAATTCAAATTCAATGATATATCATTGTATACGAAAAACAATTCTGAACGGAGACGGTCTGTCAGCCTATATCACAGAGCATATTAATTCATGATATGTTTTTAATATTGCTTTTAAAGTAATTTATTTTAGTGTTAATATTACAGTAGATTAATTTCATTTTTTATTCTGGAAATATTACATTTATTATGTTATTAGTATTTAATTACTATAAAAATGTAATACATACATATATTATTGTTATTAACTTTTAAATCAATACCACCTTACCGTAAAATAATGGTATAAAAATAAATATAAGCTTAAAATGTATTTCCATGGTTTAAAAATTTCATTGTTATAGCAAAATTTATAAAATACGTACAAGTTTTAAGACCACACGAATAATATTTTTAGATTTTAACAAAATAATTAACATTTTATTCATTGTTAAAATATGTAAATTTATCCAAATTTGAACTTAGAGTATACAAGTATATATAAAAAATTATATTTTTATACACCTTAAGAATAATTACTTATGTTAGATTTTATTAAGGAGGAATATGTATACCTACTTTAATTCATCTAATTAACCGGTAAAATGTTTTGTTTGTTATAAATAGAAAAATCTGTAAGGAATTTATTTAATTTTCAAATTTCAAGTATAAATACATTTTTTTTATGAATTCCTAATTTTGAAATAATTTGCAAGTATTCGCAATCTTAACGAATTTTAACAAAATCTTAACTTTAAACTTTATAAAAAAATATTTTGACCGTATTTTTGATATTTTTCAATTGGAAAATGATCGAGAAGAACCTTCATTTACATTTTCAAGTATTTTACCCTGTGATAAATTTGTACCGACATTTATAGAAGAAATAACTAATAAAATGTAAAAATGCCAAATATCTATAAATAGCTAGAAATTTTTTGAAAACGCTATCATGCGTGGAAAATAATAAGATAAGCATTTGATATAAATTTCAAGTATCTACAGTTATTTCCTTTTGAAATATAACAATAAAATTAAATTGATTTTGTCAAACACTCTTTTGGTGTAAAAATTCCCGTTTTTCCCAGTTTTTGTTTTGAAAAGTACTAAAAATGTTTTTGCTTTAGACCTCCAAAGTATCCATTTTAATACCAAAATCCATTCTCAAAATTGAAAATCGAAGCATTTTTACTGCTCTAAAAGATAATGAAAGGCAGAAATAAAATAAAAATACACATATCGTTGTAAAACCAATATATTAATTGATAATCACAGAGTTTAAAATAAAAATTGAAGTCATCGAATATGAATTTATCATGAATTTCAATTACGGTAAATACATTTAAGCTTAAACAATCAATAATCATTTCATTCAATAGATCTTTTGTGTGACCACATATCGGTGTTAATGTTAAAAGAGCACTCCAGTACAATTTTCTTTTCAATCTTTCATGCATGTTATATTTATATAATTATTGCATTAAAATAGAAAATGATATTTTGTTGTCACCAGCTATTGTAATAGTACCTTTTATAATATGTTCATGTAACAATTACAAAAAATAATTATATTATATTATGTGTTTTGTCAAAAGATTTTTTTAATATTTTGGTTTATAAAGAAATATCAAAACTTATTCAATTATATCATATTTTAGGTATTTATAATAATTATCAATTGCTATTTTAAAAATAATTATATTTAGAATTTTGAATAAATACAAATAATACTATAACTTATAATAGCTATTTCAAAAGTTTAATCATTATGAGAAAAATACGTAGAAAGGTTAATTTTATGTATATGCACGTATGTAAGATAAATAAAAATATAAAAAATTTTTTGGTCTGCTTTCTTAACATCACAACTTTACTTTTTAATTTCTCTTTTGTCTCATCAAGTTTTGAATGACTTAATTACACAGTACTAAATATGGAGTAATCATTTTGTTTCTTTTACCTGCCAAACAGCAGTTATCACAGTACAATTTTATCTTCTAGGTATAAAATATTAATTATTTATTTTAATATTACGTGTGAGTGTGTGACATACGAATGCAGTAATATTCTACTGTATTGTTAATAATATTAATAATTTATTAATTACGTTATAAGTTAATTTACTTGATTTTAATATGATTTCTAATTTCTAAATGAAAAAATAAATAACAAAACGAGTATGTTTTTAAAAATGAATCGAAGATTGATTTTATTCTCTAACATAATTTTATCATTCAATATGGAATAAATCTTTTGAGCAATTTATTTATTCGTTGTATCTTAGTTTAAATTTATTATATTTCAGAAAAAAGATTTCATAACCAGTTTTAAATCAATGATAATCTATATAAAAAAAACTTAATTTAACCTAAAAACAGTAAACTGAATAATTTAAATTATTTATAATACTTAATATTTAATAATAATAAAACAATAACACATAATATAATAATATTATATACCTAAAACTAAATCAAAACATTTTATTTTATTAATCAATGAAGACTTTAATAATTTAAGCTGAATCATTTAAATGCCTTTTAATTATATCATGCGCAATAGTATTTTATAAAATACTATTATAATATGAAATTCTCATATTATTTTTTAGAACTGCGTTTGCCTAGTGCCCCAACCACTCCAGAACCGCCAGAACTGGAACCGGAAAAAGATGGTAACGGAGAGTCAGCAGATGAAGATGAAGAGAACTTGGTGCCTGTGGAGGGTGAAGCTACATCCAACGGTGACAATCGATCGTCGGACGACCAACAAAGACAACAGGAACAACAAAAGCAACTATCAGTATCCACAAAAAAACCTCTTCAGACTGTTCATGGAGTTAGAAATGGAGATGGTGGAGGTGGCAACGTCCGTCATGACAACAAACAAAGACATGGCTCTGTCAAGGGTTCCAGTTCCGGATATCCCGCTCGTTGGCTGTTAGTGCTGACCGCCATCGTCATAGTCATACTGTTTCGGTCGCCGACAGTATCTCGGTGGTGACGACTCTGCTAATGAGGAGACTGTTGTAGAACGCTTATCCAGTCAGTGTCCTCGACACTTAATAATTTTTGATCTAAGACAATAATCGGTTAATTTTTTTTAAACAATATTTTCTTATTTTTCACCCATGGACCGTTGTAATCGCATAATGTTTTTTCAAAATAAAAAACTCATCATATATATATATATATATACACGCATATACCTAATGCCAAAAATTTATATAATAATATATAACAATAACATACTAATTTACAATGTATAAATGGTTGACACACGTTATCATTGTAAAGTAAAATATATATTATAAAATGTAATATTATCAGGCCGGATTAAATAGAAATCAGAATGAGAGATGACACGTTCCTAGGGCCCACAAACGTAAGCATAATTATTCGTCAGCATAAACTTTTATCAAAAGGTTATTATTTATTAATATATTAAAATTAAATTCAAATGTTTTTCATATATATGGTGTCTAAATATGCACGTGATTCAACAAGTATGCTCCAACCCGTATTTTTTTCTACAATATCTAATGCAGTTATTGAAAATCTGATTTTTTTAAATTTTTAAATATAGGTACTTGAAAACCATATTTTCAAACCCTTCTGATTTTTTGTGTTTAAATCTAAATTAACTCAATAAAAAATTCTGTTTTTAAAATTATAACCTTCCTTTTAAATACTATATTATATTTACATTTTAAAAACTGAAAACTACTCAAACAATTTACAGTGATAAACTAATTCTTATTTGAAAAACAAAAATTTTAACCACCATAAAACATTCTTTAAGTAATACAAAGAGTTTAAATAATCTAGAAAATTACCTCAAGAATTTGTAAATATAATGTTTAAGTATATTTAAAAATTCAAAGAAATTAATTACTTTTTTAATGAAAATAGGGGAGAGCATGATTGGTGAATCACAGTGTATATAGATATATTTACATAAATTACAATTAATAAACTATTTAAATATGTATATGTATTTTTTTGTAAAAAATTGTAGTATTTTAGATTAAATTCAATGGCCATAATAGTTGATAACAATAAATTTATGTGAAAGAACTCAAATAAATCCTATACAATTTTAAAATATTTGTTAGGGATAGGACATTAGATTCATAGAAAATTATATCAATCTTCGGGTCTCCAGAAGACTATCCAAACTTGATCGTTGTTATACGTACTTGTGTTTTATAATATTTTAATAAGTCGTACCTATATTATAATACTCAGAATCAACTCAATTTATGTATTGTGAGTTATGACTATGATATTACATAGTTCGCTGAAAGAGCTGAACATTTAAATAACTTACTATAGACGCAAAATAAGCGATTGTCATTTTTAGAACATTTTAGTAATACATACCAACTGTTTATTATACGCTACATTTTAATCTATTAAATATTATGTGGTGATATATATATATATATACAGAGGTGCCAAAAAATAACTCTCTGATTTGTGAAACTAATAAAAACCAAACTAATCCAAATATCAAAAAATATTTTTATTTATAATTTGTACAAAAGGTGCTATTTTATAACAATTCTTTAAAAAAACTATGTTACTTAAATGACGGTACTCATTTCTAAATCTTTCTCACTAGTTGTGTATGACCACATGAGTTATTTTGGACATGATAACAATAACTTTCTGGGCTATTAACTTCTTTCGAGACTTCCAAATTTTGAGGATGATGATGAGGTACACTTGGATTTAAGATAGTTTTTAGAGAAAAAATTCACATTGAATCAAATCTGGTGTACATAGTGGATTTTAACAACCATTCAATGTCACCACATAATGAGACAATACAAAATATTTTTTGAAGAATATCGAGTGAACGATGTGCAATGTGTGATAAATACTAACAATAGCGTCAATAATGGTTTTTGTTGATTTAAATATAACTTATATATCTCCCACCTAATCCCAAACTACAACCTCATCAAAACCAGGGAGCTTTTTTTGTTACACCCTGTAAATATATATATTAAAATTAATATTTTTATTTGATCCTATTCTACGTTTAATACTTGTTACTGTATGTTCAAAAAGTTCCAGAATTTTATTTTGTTTTATAAATAAATGATATTTAAGTTACAGATTATCAGAACACAATATTATTTCCTCTATAACATTATACACTGTTTGCCGTTTTCGAGGCCACTTTGCGATGAATCATGTCACTCAATTATCTTTAAATGTTCTAATGACTTAATAGAAGACTATCCGACCTCCACATATTCTTAACCTTCGGTCAATACACTTTGCACAAACATATACCAGAAACTAAGGTTATTTGAACTTTATATTAAAATATAGTCAGCCAACACATAGTTAATCGTTTCCAATGAACTTGCGGTCTAACTTCTTTAAATCTCTTGAACTCTTCTCGAAAATATTTTATCTGAATAGGTTTACTTATTATTCGTTGTATACATTAGTGTAACTATGACCATTTAAATGCTACTTAAGTTTTACACGTACAGATATTAATTTTATTTTATTTACAATTCATCATGAAATTATTTCATTACTGTTTCAATATTATAATATTTTCGTACTAGAGGCCAATAAAATAATTTATTATGTTTCGGCTAAAAAATGACGGTACCTACACCGTAGTAAAAATTACCATTGTAATATTTAAAAAATAATAACACTATTACTAAATAATTCGTGGGAAATAAATAACTCGACATACTTCGGTTATTTTTAATGAATTTTTTATTAAATAAATCATAATATAAATGAATGTGATAAAAGTATATTTATAACCAGGGTTCGGATTTGAAGGCAATATAATCAATAAAAAAAACATTTAAAATGTGAAAAAAAGGGATTTAATTTATATAAAAAAGCAATTCAAAAATATATTACAAAATTTAATATACTAATTAGTTGGTATTAAAAAAAAAAAATTCACTACCATGCACACTTAGATAAGCTATTTTCAGTAAAACGTTGACGGTTTGGGCTCAAAATATTTTTATACACAGAAAATTATCTTTCTACGTTCACTGGCGTATTTTATACATAAACAATTATCTAAATTAAAATAACTATTTATTAAATCGTCATCGCCTGTTATTTCTCCATTCTAATTATTGTTAACTCATTCTAAATAATTTTAAAAATAACATCGACAATGATGCACTGTTTTCATAGCTCATCAATTTGTACCGTAGGCAAAAAAAAGGTAAAAAGGCATTTATAAGTAAAAAAAGCAAAAAAAAAATACATCCACTGTCTTAAATATTAAACGAAACCCATTTTTATATAAAAATTATTTTTCTATTATAATTATTAAAAAAAAGGCTTTTACTTTCAAATCCTAACCCTATTTATAACATATAATTTTTTCAATTCCGAGTATTCAAGTTTATTTAAATTAAAAATTCGTTAGTGGGTGTTAAATATTTACAATATTCACTCAAGAAGTGCTAATGATGAAATATGTACATGTTATTATTTCCATACGTATTACCTATTTATTTTTTATTATATTTCTGCTAGTATTTAGGAGTGTAGAAGTTCTAATACATATATATTCAAAAACATCCCGACTTTTGAATAACATTTAATAAAGGTATAAGAGTACCTTTAATATTAACTGTATTTGTTATCCAAAAAATTGAAATTTCGAAAAAATAATAATAAATTAAAAATAATTTAGTGAAATAAAATTACAAATAATTTTCATAAATCGTATTGTTATTAAAGTGATGTGTATAACAACGATATTGTCCCTAACGTTTTATTTTTAAGACCAAATTTGGCTAATATGTATCTTCCACAAAATACATTAATTGTCTGTATTTTCCGCAAGACCCATTGACTTTTAATCATTTAAAAATAATACGTTGCTATACAAAATTTTAAATCATAGACCATAGTGGCAAAAGATCTAAAAGCTATTCACAGAAAACGTATTAACCAAATTTATGTTTCAAAGCGAACAGACGATATCTACCCCGGTTACTCATAAAATAAACGTGTACCTATAATAATGTACACTGCAAGTTAATTGTAAGAATTTATTGAAGTGATATTACATTAAAGCAGTTTTCTGTTTCTACTATGATATATTATACTGTACAACATTACATGATTATTATTTCGTTATTTCATAAAAATGCCAAGTTTAACTAGAGATGTTTTTAATCCCCCGGTTGTGTCATACTATATATTGGTATAATAATTATTATATAACTATTACGTGATATCCAACACTCTCTAGCACGACAACGATAACGATTAAAAAACTCATGAAACAACGTGTCTTTTTCGAAAATCTATACACACTTCACCTACAGTATAACCATCTATACTATAATCACATTAACTCATCCGTCGCTCAACATTTACACGCTTAAAATATTCAAAAATATGCATTATTACGAGTATATATAGTAGGTACAGTACTAACCGATATTATATATCTTATTCACTCTTCTCTCAAAAATATATGGCCATATAGGTTCAGCAGCTTTTATCTTACACCTTCGTAGAGCTTTATCACCCTTTCACTCTATTACTCAAATCCAATATTTTCGTATTACTTTTAAGTTTGTCATCCATCTGAGTCACCTCTCTTCATAAAATGACTAAACCATTTTAACCTATTCTCCCTCATTTTGTCTACTTGTGTATAAAATTATAAATACGTATAGATACTACTTAATACCTATGAAGGTACTTTTAAAAATTATGATGAAAAACATAGATAACCAATAGGGTATGTCTGAACGACTAATTTATAAACGCTATTTTAATAATAAGTTCAATTACAAAAAAATAAGCTGTAGATGGCTTCTCATTTATTTTTGTTTATATATACTAATCATGAAATGTTGGAATTCGGCCCCAACGATCCCCCGCTGGATTACCAATGCATAAGATTAATGTAAAATTGTCAATAGGAACCTTCGTGAATTTTATATTATTGTCAATGAATAAATCATCATATAAAAATTTCTCCATTCACGTTTATTTATTACGATTTTATAAGCATCCAAAATACTTATTGTAAAAGTAACTTTTAAATACATATTGTATTTTGTTCAAAAATATTATAGTAATACTTATACACTTTTAATCGTTCGTCCAATTTGATGTTAGCTCAACGCTTAATATACGTGGAATAATAGGTATCGTGCTTCAGTCAAACGGTTTACTGACGTTTGGCTAAATTGATATGACATAAGTACTAGTGTACTTTTATACTGGTTATTGGTTAAAAAACAAAAGGTTCAAGCCTAAGAATATTATATTTTGAAATATTATAATACAACTGCTTCGTATGTAATAATATATTTATATTTGTACATAATACGCAAGTATACGAATAAAACATAATATTGTCTTCCATTAAGAAAAATAATTTTTGTTTTTTTTTTTTTTTGTGTGTAGAAACTGTAGATTATTTATGTTATAGGTACTTATTGAATATTTTATGCCTAGTTTAGTATAATCAGCTCGTGTATTCTAATTGTAAATTATAATACAATATTAATACCAAATGGTTGTTTGAAAGGAAAAAATAAGCGCTCAAACGATTTTTGTCATTTTATTTTTATTTTATTATACCCAATATATTGTTTAGTATTCGGTCTACAGTCCCAATCGTAATATGGAAACGCAAATTAAAAATAGTAAGTGTGATCATAGTTTCATTGGGTGATTCGTTACAGGACTCAGGATCATCACTAAACTGTACTGAATATTTTAGTTTGTAACTTGTATAGTATAGTAATAGTATTTGGTATATTCAATATGTTACATTCCTTAAATCTTGTATAGTATTATAATCGTTTATCATTAAGTTGTAATAATATATTATACGGTAATATTCAATACCAAACAAATATCTATTATTATATTGATTAACAACAATAACAATAGGTAATATCATATACTATTACCTCTATTGATGTATACACATGAAAATTATTATTATACGTATGTACATATATTATGTTGTTCCATTTGAATTTATTTTTTTATTAAATCGTATTGACTATTATGTGTATTATATTATATAATGTATAATAATAATAATAATAATAATAACACTATGTTATGTGATATTGTTCAAAATTTGAGTACACAAATTATTTTATGATTTAAAATAATATCTTTAACAACGTGACAATATTGTAAAGAAATATATATGTATTATACTATTATAATATGTTAATATACTTATTAGATTATCGTTATGTATACGAAACGACAGTATAAATGCGTTTTCAAGTCATTATTATAATATTAATGTTATTATATTGTATATTATTATTATTATTATCAATATTTTGTTGTTTATATTATCAGATCATTGTTTAAAATATTTGTCATTTGTTATCGTAATTATTATTATTTATCAATGTATAGTGGTCATTATTCAATTAATAAAATATAGTCAAATATTCATTTATGAACTATGAAGTACCTATAAACACACATGAAGTGAGAAACATTTTATACCTACTATGTATCTCACACTTAAGTATTTAAATAATTTAATAAAGAATATTGTATGTAGACATGTGGTATAAATGTATTATATCAACAAAACTCTATAAAAAAAAAAATCCATTGCAACAAAACTAGTTGCCTATTTATTTATGAAAATTAATTATATTATTAATTCTATAATAATGAATCGTTTAATTAATCTAATATCAATTTTTTTTTTTTTTTTTTTTGGATCCGTAAAATTATAATAAATTAAAAATACTATAAAATTTGTTCATACATTTTAAGGTACCTATAATATAATATTTATATATTAGGCATCTTGTGTATAACACCTACTTACTAGAATCTATGTGACTGACAATTTTTTTTCAAGTTAATAGTTTTTGATGTAACGAGTTGGATTTTATCATTTTTTGTTTTAAAAAATCCTGCAGTATAAACTATAAGTACATTAATTTAATTTATGACATTCACTCATTTTCTAGTACTTAAGTATTTTAGACTTCTATGTTATAAATTGTAATATATTTTATAATGAACATTTCATCTTCCAATTTCTATACCATGTTGATTGTTGATGAAACAATGAAGTAATAACTACATTAGTTTACTTTTTGACGCCGACTACCGAGTAATGAGTATCGGTTATTTATAGTCCATATTATAAATTATGCCAATAACGTTCCGACAGTCGATAGTTACTCAGAATCTCAGCCCATATCGTTTCCCCATCAACGCTTATCATCAGGCAACAGTCAGACATTAACTACTATATAACACATAATAATATAGTGTCGTAATGATCATTTATATTTTATTAATTATTACACACTCACTTATCGACACGTAAGCAAACGCTTTGCGTATACCAAATCCCTAAAAAGTAAAAAATTGTCTTACAAATGGTTTTAAACACATTATTACTTATTAGTTATTACAATAGCAAAGGATTTGACGTTTTCTAAGTTCTAAACTTTAACGATTTTAATAACTATATAAACTGCAACTAGTGGGTTAATTTAAAACTAAAACTACTTCAACAAGCAGATGCCAGTCGCCAGATACCGTTAAATGCGTGGATAGATGGCGATGGATGAGCGGATGACTGGCAATAGCCATTGAACCTTCTCTTCCAAGATTGTTTTTGTAACATGGAAAAGATTTCATCTATGCTTATATTATGACACCAGATTATCAAAAGATCTTCTCTACAAATTATTTTGTAATTCTGTATTCCATATTAAATTTAATCATATTATTGTCATCACAATTTACATTATTAATGTACCTAGATATTTTGAATTCACGGCAAGTATACCCCAACGACGAGAAATTCCCATTTGGTTGCTTATGCGTTATCTGTTGGTCACACTGTTTTTTAATGGATTTCGATCTATTTGCTATCAACTCTATACCAAGTATGCCCCAAGGCCTCTAAGATAAAAAATCTACAAATTACTATTTGGTTTTTGAATTTTGAAAAGCGTTTTGTTTTAAGTTTTATTTACGCTTTTTTTATATGATACTATGACAGAGGACATCGTTTATCAAAGCACTGGCACTAAATGTGCTCTTAGTTTTTGTAAAAACATTTATATGGAAACTGATGAAGAAGGTCAACTATTGTTTTTCAGTTTTCCTGAAGATCCAGTAAGGTAAAAAGTCATAGATACTATTATATTATACGAGAATGTTAGAATATTAGGAAATGCACTGCATTCAAGATACGTTTTCGAAGAGCATACTAGTTACCAAAGTGGTTTAATGCAATTAAGGTTGTTCTATCCTCACCACTAATAATTTAAGTTCATAGACATTATTTATCTTTTAATATCTATAATTAAACCATTGATTATAGAATTATATTCTATAATCAATGATTAAACTAATAATATAGAGTAATCACTTAAAAATACAATACGACTAATATTAACTATAATTACGATAATAAAAAAAAGGTAAATGATATTAAAATTAATTACAAAAAATTTGAAATTTAAATATTTTTCTTTTATATAGACCTTTAAATCGTACCCACAACCGCATAATATAACCATTATGGTAATCGGTAAACTACTTCCATCATTTATTCCGTTTATATTAGGTATAAGTTGATGTCCTATGGGTATTTTTATTTTTAACTATAAATATATTAATTATTTTCGGTAGACACTGAAATAGATAACAATATACTGGAATGCAGACTGGCCATGTATGGCCTAATGAGTAATGGTACGAAAAACAAACCGTCTCGAATGCCATTACCGCTTTCACTAAAGAACTAACAGTTAAATGTCCTGAAGATTAACATATATAAATAAAAAAAAGTAAAGATTTTACTTTTTAGTTGACATTTTTCTGGTATAAGTGAGCGTGAGCATATCGCGATAAATTCTGTACTACAATGTTTGTCTTGGTGTGAACTTTCAAGTGCAAAGTAAACTCTTACATTTTATTTAATGATGAGAATATTTAAACTACAAAAACAACCATGTTTACACTTAAACTATTTATCTACATTTGTATACGCATTTATAAAAATGTAATATTCATTAGTAAGAGCATAACTGAAAATCGGATGAACCAATTGGGCTCATTTTTTCATTAAGTATGAAAAAAAAGTAAAATAGTATGAATAAAATTTTACGGAAAAAAAAAATCAGAAAAATTCAGGAAAACTGAAATTGATTGTTATGATGATATTTTTGTATGAACTCGTGACCATGTGCATGCATTTGCTGAAATTTGGCAAACGCATAAAGTGCTGATGAATCATCTAATGGATCAATTATAGAATTAAAAAAATTGTTATTGGCTAAACAAAATTTACAATTTAAAAACGAAATGTTTTACTTTTTGTTCTACAATTTTAAGGAATAGGGAAATGTTTACGTGTTGCCTCTTTTTTACGGCGCTGTCTGCGCTCCAGTATTTGTTATCCATCTCGTTGGCGGTAATTATTATCTTTAAACATGATAACAATGCGGCAATCGTTAACATTCGTAGATAATATTATGTTCTTTAGTATAAACAACACACTTATCACTTATCATGAAAATGTACTTCAAATTCAAATATTTCAATATTTGTCTGATGTTTATATCTACTATTAAGTCAGGGAAAATTAACGTTTGAAAATTAAAGTATAATAATGGCGCATCATTGTCGTCACAATTGTAATAAGTTGTCAAATCGCGACAACTGGCACAGTTGATATTCTCAAGGAAGCAACCATAGTAAGACCTGAGGTATTCCTAGGTGACAACTTTATAAACAAACTTAACAACAAAATATAGACCATTAACTCCGCTTTATTGTAAGTGAATAATTAATTAAACTTATTACAGGCTTTTGTTGCATAGTTAAAATTAGTTAATTAAAAAGCAAGGGTAATTGAGTATAATAGGTCATATCAAAGTAGTTTTTGAGATTATTTTATTGTGAATTAGAGTGCATATTATTTGAGATTATTACTATTAATTATTAAAAGGTGTGCATGAGATAATATTATATTTGAAAATTAAATGTGTATTTTATATTTTTATGGATAACAGAAAAAAAAGTACATCTCTTTTGAAAAAAGTTAATCCATCAACAGAATCAAGTGTAGAATTTGAAACATGGGTATTAAATGTAACACAGCAATTGATAAACCTTAGCAGCCCAGTTAAAGCTCATTTAGAAGTCCAAACTCTAATAGAAGTTCTAGTTTATTAAGCATAAAAAAAGAACTAGATAAAGTTGTAGTTACTTACAGTGAGTCTACATTAAAATATCAACACTAAATGTTAAGTTTTGATAGAAAATTGTATAAAAAAAAAAATTGCAGTGACACTTAGATTTAAGATGCATAAAAAATAATATATCTATGTACAAGAGAAGATTATACTTACTTGTTTGTAAATCTATATCATATGGCAATAGATTTAGTTGAGGAAAAACATGTAGCTATGTTAATTTAATATATAATAACTAGATTATCCAGTGAAGTATTAGAAATTGTTAAATTTAAAAGTGTAAGTTTGTGGCTATGTATGAAAAGTTACTTAATAGGTGTATTTGATGATTAAAGCATTGCACCATCCTTACAAATTCAATTAAATTCTATCAAAATAATATTATATTATAAATGATTATGCATGCATACAGCTAAAGAACCAGATAATAAAGCTAAAGTAATACTTAAGTTATTAAAAGGACAGACATAAATAATATTTATAAAAATATGGATATGTCTTACAAAAACAATTATTAAAACTTCAAGCTTGTAACCCAAAAACTCTTAAAGTAGCAAAACAGCAAAATCTGTACAAACAAGATTTAACTCAGACTGAATATTTTAAGTATAACCGTGATAATGCAAATAAAGATAATAAAAATAGTTTCTAATATGTTTAACTAAGAAAAAAAACTTATGTTCTGTACCAATACTTAAATATCCAGAATTGAACAAAACTTTCATGTTAACTACAAATGCAAGTAATAAAGCTTTAGAAATAGTATTATAGGTAGAAATTTACCAATTTCTTACTCATTGTGATCAATGAATAAAAGTGAAAGCAAATATTCTATAACCAAATTAGAACGTTAAGTTATTTTTGTTAATTTTTGGTGTAGAACAATTCAGACTATATTTATATATATAGCATTAATGAACTTTAAACAATTGCCTAAAGAAAATAATCTTACAAAGATTACTACAATGAATTAGAATAGAATAGAATAAGGTCAATAATGTTAAAGTACTTATGATGCAGAACATAAAAAGTATTTTTCTAAATCAGCCAGATCTAATGAGACCACTACTATAATAACTTGTGCCAAATATAAATCTGCAGGAGACGTCAAATCTATCTACAACTTATCTTCAACAATATCTGTACATTAAGGACAAGGAACCTGAAGTGGTCTTTTAAAATGGTACCACAGGTATAAAAATAATAAAGAAATTATGATTAATGGGTATATTAAGATTTTTAAGTATAACATTAAATTAATAGATATCAATGGCCCAAGGAATTTACTATCTACCTAATATTTACTGATAATTAGTTTTAATAATATTTGTAATTATTTATAGATGTGCTATTTGGGTTGAAAACTGTGATTCAAAATATTTGCCAAATGTAGACCTTCAAAATTTGAATAAAAAATATAAATTGTGTTCATTGCATTTTGAAGACCGAATGTTCAATTTTCAAAAGAATAGACTCTTATCTAATGCAGTACCAACATTATTTAAAAGTTAGTTTGAAAGATTCATTTTATGATTTAAAATAATAATTTTATTATATATTATTGATTGTAAATCCTGTGTTTTTAGATAAACTCCCAGTAATAACATCAGTTACATCTCAAGATGCTTATAAAACCATTACAATAAATGACAGCAAAATCCCACCAGCTATACCAATTGATGCTACAACATCTAGTTCAAAATATGGTATATGTTTTGTAAAATTAATTTTTTTAATAATACTTTATTCAACTTAAATATTCACTGGATAGCAAACATAAACTTATTGTATTTCGAGTATACTTCCCCCATTTTCAGTTTGATGGCATTGCCTCAATTCTCTCCTACCATAACTCAGCCTTTTATTAAACTACATCACATATTTATGATTGTGAATCAATTATAATAGTGATAATAAATGATCATTTCTGAACTGTAAATTTGGAAGAACAGATAATGTTTGCTTGTCATTCATGTATGTACAAACTGGTGTATTCTTTAGTTGAATAGAGTATAGCTGTGGTTCCCAACCTGGGGAGCGCGCCCCCCTTGGAGGCATACACACATTGCTGGGGAGGCACAAGCAGTCATCACAAAGTAAAATTTTTATTTATCAAATTTTATTATATTTAAAATTCCACTATAATACTATATTATTTACAATTATTTATATTTTATAATTACTATCATCAATAAAATCTTTCCAAATATTATATAGTTTATTTGTAAAATGTAAAGTAAACAAAAAAAATTATAATTTTTTCAATTTATGGGGGGGGGGAGAGATTTTTGAAAATCTACAAAGGGGGTATAGAATAAATAAGGTTAGGAACCACTGGAGTTAGGTAATTAAATATAATTAATTGGAATAAGTAATGTTAATAATTATTTAGATACATATGTGCACAAAAGTAATTATGTGCCAGCAGCTATTGGGCTTGTAAAAAATTCAGTAAGTCTTCAAACTCCAGCTTACTTATCAGCCAAATCTCCACGAAAACTCAAACTTAAGAAGCAACTATCTGAAGAAATTAATTTAAAGAAGCAATTAGAAAAAACTGTCATTGAGTTGAAAAAACAATTAGAAAAAACAAATTCAGAAGATAATTGTCTCAAATTGTGTGAAATGTATTTACCTTCAACAATGTATTTGTTGGTAAAAAATTACTTGATAAACAAAAATAAAACACCAAATGGTCAACGACATCTTAATGAAATAGTACAATTTGCACATACAATTCATCATCTTGGACCCAAAACTTATCATTTCCTCCAAAAACATTTTACCCTTCCTCATATGCGTACTTTAAGGAAAAGAAATGTTCAAAATATTGACAAAAATGTTCAAAATATAGTTCAAAATGACCATAGATACAGTAAAATTTAATAGTATTAAAAACTAATATTTTTACATTATAATCAAAGACTGAGTTGAGGTCAAACAAAAATACAATTTATGTAATGAATTTTCCTAATTAATATGTATGAATCAATTTTATACTAACTGCAATATAATTTATTTAGTTTTTAAATTATTTTTGTTTTGTTTTTAAATTGAATAAAGTTAAGTTGTAAATTTATTTAACTTACATTTTATTTGTTTTATGGGATACAGACTAAAATTTAACCATATTGTACAATGTGAAATACATAATATTTTTTAGGTAAGACTTTTATCTTATAGTATAATATCTTAAATTTTTCTTATAAATTGTATACTAAATTCGGTTATTTGATATTTGTCAACAATACGTATTAACAAATTATACTCTTTTCAAAATGAGATCAGTATTGAGCGATGACCTGTTTCTCAGACTAACAACACCCGTTTGTCGTTTGTCATCCCCACTTAGTAAACTATCTGTAAGCCATACCAGGTAATCCCGAAAAAAATATATTTATATTAATATTTACAAATTTAAAAAAACAATTATGATTAAATTGTAATTTCCTATTTTTCATCATAAAATTTGACACCGTTATTTTTCTTAATTTAAATTTATTCTTGGCTTAAAAACATCAAATAATTATTATCACCACCGAAATTTTTAGCAAGTGTTTATTTCGTGTATATATTTATGTTACGGGCAATGTATATACTTTGCCCGATGTTTTTGGGAAATTTATTAAAACACTACTTTTACCTTGCAGGGTTGTATTTTGACCGGTCCAAGTTACTATGCCCGTACCAAATTGGGCATTGTAACTTAAACTATAAACAAAACTTTCTATTTGAATACATTTTTTTTTTTAAGTGTTAAACAGTTAAAAAAAGTAGATTTAGTGAGGATAGCTACTTTTTTACTGTCAATTTAGTACGTATTATATTTTTGGAGTTATATACGCACTTTTATATTTATGTTTTATAAAGTAATTGTCACTAATTGATATGAGAATATAGTATAGAAGCAATGTTTGGATATAGTGCAAAAATTAGATTAAACGATGACTTTACATCAGATTGTACACCCAATATCAATAATTATTAATAAATTAAAAACTGAAGAAGATTTAGAAGCGGCTATAAAATTATGAATACTGGAAATCATTGTGCAGTTGATGAAACATTGATTGAAGGAAAAATAGATAATAGAATAAATAAAATAACTGCTGTAAGAACAGAGTTAGTTGTAAATTTAATAATTCAAGCGAATTGATTTATATTGCCCAATTTAGACTGGGTAATTCTATATAGACCGTGCAAAGTATAATTTTACCTACATAGTACATTACCCATCATAATCGGGCAGTAATGCAGTACCATAATACCCGAGCAATTAAAAACATTGCCTGACAGTCTACTTTGCTCGTAACTGGCTAATGGCCGTAACATATTATATTATATTAATTAATTTTTGACACACAATTATTTTAAAATTGTTATACTGAATAGTTTTTCTTACGCTGATTTACTAACGAACGTTTTTAACACTATATACCTAGTATTTCAGTTAATTCTGCAACTGAACTCAACTTATCATACTCATTAATAGATCAAAAAGGCTCAAATTTCTTGTTCGCACTAGACTTAGCAAATTATGTTTACGCAGCTTCATTGAAAAGATGCTATAATTCAATGCTTAATATAGTTGCTAAATATAATATAATTGCTAAACTATGCAGGTATCGGAATCCTGTAACAAAACGTTGTGCACTTCTATACAATAAGCAAAAATTGAGGAAGTGACCGATGATTTAGCTGGTCCATTAGAAAGAAGGACTAAAGTAACGTGTGCCACTAATAATTAAAAATGTAAATTTAATTATTGTGCTACCGGACCAAAATTCGAACGTTATATTGCGCATAGTAAAGCAGTTTCTGTTGGCCATTTCACCCGAAGTATAAGTTTATCATCAAGGCCGACTGAAGGCATGTGCGAGGAATGCATTCGTAGAGGGCGGCAATATAACCATCAATACTGAGTAGAGTATTTCATTGAACATGTTTTAAACTTAAAATTATTTAAAAACAGAATAATTAACTCCAAAAAATGTGGAATAGTTCGAAATAATGTAATTTCCTAAAATATCTCTTAATTTTTGCTTTATTAGTATTATTGTTTATTTTTATGAATTCATTACATGCGTTATGAATTTATGATATTTATTAGCATTGACTATAAATTACAAATAATCATTGATTTAAATAACTGTGTCACTTTCCCACTGAGGTCTGTATTAACTATATTAAATTATTATACACGTCTTTTCATTTGTAATAAGATTACTTTTTCGTTCGTCTTTACCAAGTAAATAATAAGATAATTATACTTTATACAGCAGTTCTGTGGTAGAAAACAAGTCAACATTCAACAAATAAATAAATATTGTAAACTGTGAGGTAAGTTAGACTTTTTACTTGAGATCATTTTAAAAATATAAATAACTAATAGACATGGAATGGTTGCAGAGTAAAATACAATTTTTTAACAACAGTTATATGTTAAAAAGTATTTAAAAATTATTTATAGCTAAGATTACTATTATTTTATTTATACTTGTCCAGAAATAGGTTATAACTTATAAAACAATGTGTGTAATATAATATAAATATGTTTTATAACTGTAGGAAACTTTTTTTAAATTTTACAATAGTTTTACATATTTTGTCATTATTACATACAAATATGTTTGAGTAAATTTAATAATTATTAAGAACATATTTTATATAAATATAGATTGAAATATGGAAAGATGAAATTAACTTTTTAAGTTCTAATATAAACAATTTTTTTCAAAATATAAACCTATATAATTTTTTTTAATTTCAAATAATGAACATAAAATATATTATTTTTAGTATTTTAGACTATCTAAGCGAATATTTCTTGTTTTTATAATGCATATGTGTATTGTGCATACATATGTTGTAATTTTTAAATACTAGTAATCCTCAACCCTAACTATATTATTTAAATATACCTAGTAATAAATGTTTTATAATAAATAGTCAAATGACTCGAAATGTAATATTTTGAATTAAAATTTATATATACAAGTTATTTTCCTATCAAATTCATACAATAATACTAAAATACTAAAATATTTATTTAATTGATGTGAAGTAGTTTTTTCAATCGAAAAAAGTATAGGTATTATATTAGGACGGCCAAATGACTAGCTCCGGCACTGTTTGTCATACATGGTTAGGTTATGATATGATTATTATATATAAATGTTTTTGTTAAGTTATTCGTTAGTGTAATTCCATTAAATTTAAGCAGATACAAAACGGATGCGGCTTTAGCCCCTCTCCCCTAAGAACAAAAAATAGATATGTTTTTTGTTATAAAGTTTTGTGTAAAGCGTATGACTTATTTCACCCCAACCAAGTTTTGGAGCCTCCTGGGTACAAAACATAAAAATAACATAACAATAATTAATATTAGATAAAAAATATTAATAATAATATTTTTATTTAATATTTTATTTTATTAGATATCTAAGTAATAAAATCTCTATTTATTATTCTTAGATTTTATACATAGTTATTCTTATTATAAAAAATTATTAATTATTCAAAAGCTAAGCGGCGTCCAGAAACTGGCACACTGCTATTGAACTCATTAATAACTTATTCTACATCAATGAGATGATTTTTTTCAATTTGTAACAAAGATAAACTACTGAGACATTTTTGGCTCAACTAAGAGCCTACAATGCTCCAAAAACATAAATTATAGATTACATTTATTTGATATTACGTATCTATTATAAATTATTATAATCAATGATTTAAAGCGTATTTAAACTATTATCGAATACACCTTTTGATTGCTTTTTGTACTATATTATCCTGTTTAGACTTTCTGTAGTGCAAAAATTGTGGGACTTTAAATTACCCGATTTTAATTTTGTAAAAATCTTAAAATTTGTTAACACTTTCTCTAGAGAACGGGCAGAGCACTTTTTTAATTTCATCTTTTGATACTTTTTTTTTTATCGTAAAAGTTTCCATATCCATAATTTTTACTTTATCAATAACAACAAAAAAAAATATGATTTATTTTGATTTTAAGAATCGTACAATTGTTTTAAATTTTATGACTTATAGAGACTTTAATAAGTCTTTTTATTAAGCTTAGAACCTACGACGCCCCAAAAACATAACTTTTTTGATATTACTTATCTACCTATTATAAATAAAAATTATTTAAAGCGTGTTTGAACTAATGTCGAGTACCTACTTGTTGATTGCTTTTTGTACTATATCGTTTTTAGACTCTCCGTAATGACAAAATTGTAAGACTGGATCACCATTAAATGTCTTACTATCAGTCACCGTTTAGTGAAAATCGATTTCTGGTCGGGTAATTCGCCTACGGTGGATTTTTATATCTCCTGAAATCGAAAGTGTTGTGCTGTTTTATACGTAAAAAAGTTTAAGTCGAATCGAGTGTTTGATTTTCAAGCGATCAACATTGAAAATCCAATTAAACGCATTAAAACCTCCCTGCAGGTAGGCGATTCGACTACATCGGATCGCGGACAATGTGGGCGTAAAAGGGAGATTTTAAATGTATTCTAGAAAATACATGCCAAACGTTAGCAAGTTGTGGTAAATAGTTAAATCATAAGAAAAAAAAAAAAATATATTTAAAATGTTTTTTATATTTAATAGATAGTTTTAAATAACGAAAAGAAATATGCATTTCCTGTGATGACGAAAATTACAATTGATTAACAGTAATATTTAAATTAATTGAATTAAATAAAAAATAAAAAAAATCCAATGGCAACGTAATGTTCATTGCGCTGCCCGGATTTCGCCGAAGCGGGATTTGAACATGCTTACCCAACATTGAGGGATCTATCGACTATAAATATAGGTACCGTTTGAGTTGGAAACCGATGCAGAATCTTGAGCATTTAAACCATTTTAAAGTATAGCAACGAATACTGCATTAAAGGTTGTTTAACCAATGCAATTTTTACAATTCGTGTGTTATGAAACCTTAAATCGCATATTTATTGTCGTTTAGACTGTTTAGAGTGTTTCTGATGTATTATCTACATTAATTGAATATATCTCATACATATATACATATATAGGTATCATGATATCACACCAAATGTATGCAAAAAAAACTAAATGGTATGCCATTTTTTAATTATTATGACTTATAGATAGAAAAAAATCTAATTTTCTGATGGCAGTACACTATAACTATCGAAAAAAAGCGAACTATTCTTCGTTTTATGTTACAAGTAGATAGAATTAGATTATAATAGAAAAATAATTTTTATATAAAAATGTGTTTTGTTTAATATCTGAGACAGCGGATGTATTTTTTTTCTTATAATTTATAAATGCCTTTTTTTGACTACGGTACAAAGCGATGAGCTGTGAAGACAGTGCATTGTCGATATTATATTTAAAATTATTTAGAATGGGTAAACAATTAGAATGGAGAAACAACAAGTGATGACGATTTAGTAAGTAGTAATCTTAATTTAGATAATTATTTATGTATTAAATATGCCAGTGGACGTAGAAAGATCATTTTCTACGTACAAACATATTTTGAGTCCAAATCGTCAGCGTTATACTGAAGATAGCTTAGATATCTAAGTACATGGTAGTGAATTTTTTTTAAATACCATCTAGTTAATATATTAAATTTTGTAGTTTATTTTTGAATTGCTTTTTTAAATAAATTAAATGCCTTTTTTTCACATTTAAATGTTTCTTTTATTGATTATATTGCCCTTAAATCCAAACCCTAGTATTAAATGTCAAAATATATAAAATATTATGGCAATTTTATCACACAGCTTATGGTTGGCTCACATACACTGATTTGTTGCTGGGCATCAGCGCCACCAGCCTTCTATTATCAATTTCTTATCATTTTTTATGGTTATCACAAAAAAAAATTGTCGTCGTATCCATAGACATAAGTTCTATGGTCATATTACAATTTACAATTATTTCTAATCATAAATTCATAAATTCGTGGGATCTTCATGGTTCATTTCATAGTGCTTCGTAAATTGTAACTCGTCAATCGTCATACGAATATTTTACGTGTATACGATTTTCATTTTTTAGTAGAATTAGTCTATTACTTAAACTCTGTTTAGAGTTTTAGACCATTCAAAAGTCTGCGCATTATAATTTTATAATTACAAACGTAATCATGAAATATAACACTGTTTGAATATTATGTAGCCCCTCGGCCAATACTCAATTCAGTGGTACTTATCAATATTAACACAATTTCTTGTCTGCTGCAAATAAATGGTAAGTGAATATTGTCATTATTAAATTTACAAGTGTCATTATTTGAATATTTGATGATAACTCCTATTCAATTTGTTGACCACAGGATCCTCTCAGTGACGATACTATCCCATTTGGAGAGGAGAACATAGAAAATTCTTCACAATTACCGTAAGTTAAATACAAATGCACTACCTAAATACTGTATTCTATGTGGTTTTTGAAGCAGTTAAAATACTGTTATAAATTTAATAATAGAACTCTGATTTTCAACATCCTTTGGGGATCAGCTTAAATAAATTACTTCATATATTGAATAAGAAGAAAAATCCTCATACAAACTCCTATAATACTTATGTTATTTAATATTACTTGAAATTTAATACCATAATTGTTTTGCTTTACTATATACAAACAAATTAACACTATTATTTGATTGTCTTATAACATTATTTTTATAATGTGTAATTTGTCATCTTTTGAAAAAAATTCAATTTTATTTATTTTTTCCAGGCATCCATATGTAACATTTTTTCATTTGTTCTTCAGAGTGTCTGCTGTTGTCATCTATTTTTTCGGAAGATTATTTACTGAAAGCTTTATCACATTATTTGTTCTTATAATTTTATTATTATCCATGGACTTTTGGATTGTGAAAAACATAACAGGTTAGTTATTTATATGGTTTTATATTATTATAAATATTAAAATTATGTTATCATTTATTTTTAGCTATTTATTGTTTAAATGTTATACCTACCTATAAACTATAATAATTGTTTTTAATATAGGTCGTATTATGGTCGGACTGAGGTGGTGGAATTATGTAGATGATGATGGTGTTTCGCATTGGGTTTATGAATCAAAAAAGGTGAAAAATTGTTGGTTCCTTTAAACCAATATTATTTGTTATTGTTTTGTAATAGACATTATCATAAATAAGTATTTTATATATGCTGGATTTAAAAAATAGATTTTTCATTGGACTTTTCTAATCTTAACTCAAGGCTTTCATTATTTGTGAAGTATAGAAAAAAAATATTTTATATTATGATGTAAGACAATACTTTATTTTAAGACAACTTTCTGATATTTGTGTCATTATAAATTCATGTTATTTCGTAACTTAACCTAACCTTTACTGTACCAGTGTTTTCATTTTTATATAGTTTTTATATGCTTGTAGTCAGCAAATATCATAAGTTCCCTTTGTTAACAGGGATCTGTGCAGCATCGAGTAAATTCTAGTGAATATAGAATATTTTGGGCTGGACTATGGTCTATCACTGGAATGTGGATTTTATTCTTTATCACATCATTATTTAGCATCAATTTTAAATGGATGGTAATTAAGATGCATAGTTTATACTTTATTGTATGAATCCATAATAATTTAACAGTGGCTTAATATTTTTTCTATTTTTTCTCTAGTTATTGGTCTGCATAGCGTTGACTTTGAACATTGCAAATTTATATGGTTATATAAAGTGTAAAGGAGGAAATCAAGAAAACTTGGGAATTTCTTCAATGGCCAGTAGTTTTATTTTTCAAAATATTGGAAAAGTAAGAACATTAATAAAATATTAATCATAAGAACTTTATTTTCACTTTCTATAACCCTATAACCCTAAATTTTGTTATGTCAAAATAAATTATAGCTAATTGTATTAAATCAATCAAAATGATGCCATTAATGCTAAGTTAGGAATCTTATATATACCTATTTTTCTTAAATTTTTTTTTAAGTAGCTTAATGAAAACTGTTGATTGTTCAAAATTCTAACAAAAGTATAGTTTTTATTGATATTTATTTTAGGTTAATAATAGAATAATAAATAAAACAAAAATTATTTTTCAAATTTTACAAAGATAAACAAGTTGTATGCTTGTAAGATACGAGAGAGTACATAGAATTGTGGCATTCTCTAAATATTTTAATAATTGTAATTTATTTTTTTATTTTTTTTTTTGTGTCTTATGTGATATTATAACTAGGGAATGGATTAATAATAAAAATATGGAAATATGTACATAAATATGGAAGTATGATTTATAAAATATGTGCTAAAAACATCAAAATATGTAGGAAAAAAATGTAATTAAAAAAAAAAATAATAATAATACATTAAATATTAAATTATCGAATTTTGAATGTTTCCTATTAGGTCTCAAAATGTTTTTAAAAGGACTAAATGATTGTTCCATATCAACCGATATAATTGTAGCATACTTGAAGCGTATAATATCTGAAGGCAATAATTTCAAATTTTTAGAAGGGTTTCTGCCACTTATTCTGTTATTGATTGTTTTAAAATTAAAATAGCTAGTATTTTTTTCTATAACAGCATGAATTTTTTTTGCAATATACTGATAAATAGCTATTTTTGTTCGCTACAATATGGATTGAAAATGTACGAATCATAAAATGATAAAATTAGTAAAATATGTAAAATAAATGTAGCATCATTTAAATAAGAATGATTTAAATTAAGAACACTTCTTATCAAATCTTAAATACCTTGTTTTGATAAAAATATGCATTTACATATAAATCCGTTCCCTAATTATAACTTTTGATGATTTACTTCAGTAATTCTAATATCATGTTTGTATACAATATAATTTAATTTTATAAAACAATAGTAATAATATATTTTATAATTTCCAGGTAAGAGATACAATGTCAAACTTAAATAACCCTCCAAGCAATACACCGAATTTAAAGCCAACTGGTATTGTTTAGTATTAAAAAATATATGGATTGTTACTTTAACTGTATGGTTAATTTAAATTATACTTATGTGTATGTATGATTACAATTATTGCATAAATATATAATATAATTGTGTATATGGATAAATAAATGATGAAGTCTAATAAAAATAATATGCATTACTAAGAGATTTTAAAATACAAAAGATTCAACAATTATAATGATTTCCTTTTTATAAAAAAAATATATATTACTTTACTAAATTTACTTAATCACTCATTGACAAATATGTTATGCTTTATGTTTATCATTAAATTAATTAACTAATGACAGATTTAATTTAATAATCTTCTCTACTTATAACATAGTCAATTATTTATAATAAATAAGGTTAATATTTATTGTAAATAATCTACTCAAAATTTGAAAAGTAATATAGTACAAAATTTTACATAATATTATACATTGTATTTTGTTAAAGACTGTTGCAGGAAAATAGTTTACTTGTAAATTTATTGATACAATACATTTTACATTTATTGTATGGGTCTTACGATACAAACATTAATCATTGTACAAGTATTAGCTAAAAATATAACTTGTTTTTAGTGCATGAAGTATAACAAAATGTCATAAATATATGACAGATCAAGACTTTCATACTACTTAAAATAATTCTAAATTTTATTCATTTTTGCATTTTAGATTCTGAATGTGAAATATTTTACCATTACCACGTCAGATATTTAATAGAAATGGAAAATATATTGAGCAGTTGAGTAACATTAGAATAATATATGAAATCGATAAAAAAATTTGTTTTCGAAATGAGTAAAAAACAAAATTATGTAACATTTATTAATAAATAAATAGTAGTGATAATAATGTTTATGGCAGTACAGAAAAATGGTTTTGAAAAAAAATGCAAAAAATATCATGGTCCAGGTGAGGCTCGAACTCACAACCCCGGCATCGCTCACGAACAACTGTCTTATAAGTACCGTGCGCTAACCGATTGCGCCACTGGACCTGTTCGTCAGGAGTCGATTTTTACCCATTTAAGTAATTTTGCTACCAACTATAATCAACCCATTTTTCTTTATATATAATTAATCTAAATATTTATTATTATTATTATGGAATAATAGGTTAGACAAAGTTTTTTTCTAAACAATAACGATAGATTTGCATAGGCAACACACGATTGCCCACAATATACCTTTTTATCTACCAGCTTCCGCGAATTTTCGTCATACAAAAGTTTTTTTAATTGATTCGGTCGGTACTCGACTATTCAACGATTTTGCATAAAAATTGATGAGATATTGTCAGGTATGATTATATATTTATGTATAATATGAATAATGTGATTATTTGTTTTCGAAATGATTAAAACAAATTAATTATTATCTATAATAAAACAATTAACAAACCATTAATAATAAAGTATACCTGTAATTATTGGTGACGTTAATTAAAATATTCTATCCTCAATAATGTTGCTAAAAATATATATTAATATGTTAAATCGTGTGAGGGAATAGTATTAGGTAGTTTGATTTGTGATACTGGTATATGGTCGTAATTAAGATTTAATAGTTTTACAAGGAATTTGAGATGCTTTAAGTGTTGACTGTTGAATATCTTCCATCGGACACATTTATAAAAAAAACTTAAGTAACTATTTACCTATATAAATAATAATAATTACCTAACCTAACTTATACATATTATAATGTATATTATTAGTTTATATGAATATAATATGATATTATTAAATTAAATATTATGATTTAGTTTTCTTTCTTTCAATTTTATATTTTGATACTATTAAGTATTAATATGAAGATTGATTGATGGCTGTAATCAGTGTTTATTCCAGACCTTCTATCCCGGGGGCCGGGGAAGTGTTATAAATTTTCAAGGGGGTACAATAACTAATAAGATAAGAGCAATTAATGGAAGGGAGTAAAAATACATTTAAATTATATAGGTAGGTAGGTATACAAAATTATTTTTGTAGTTTTTGCTCACATAAGAAGTGGCCTTAATTAATGAGTAATGGCTAATACAACCTATAACCTCTATCATAATATTTATTTTATTGTTAGTTGTTAGTTGACGTAAGTCTTACATTTTTCGGGTGGGGGGAAACACCTTTCTTTGGGGGGTAATACTTCTTTGGTCAGTGGTCACTCCCCTGAAATAAACCTTGTCTGTAATGGAGAGTGAGTAAAGCTTGCGATTAAGATAAAAATTTAAAAATAAAAAGTACTTATATCTAAACGTACCTAATAAAATAAGTATATATTATAATTATTATAGTCCTTATAACTTCGTTTACCCGTTTACCTATCTATGTCTATACGTATTTGGACGTAAATGTTTATAATAGGTATGATATAACGATTATCTTAATAGTCCATTACTCATTGGATAATTATCTTTCTACATTATTATTTTTTATAGTCAGATCACTAAATCAGTTAGTCTACCTGATGTATATTGCGTGTAACGGAGCATATATACACTAACGAAAACGGCCTTTCTCAGGACCAACACATATTACTAACTGTTAGTAAATAACACAGATTAAATGAAAATTTTAATATTATTTTGAATTTTCATATAATTTGTATTTTTTGCTGCTAAATAGCACATGAAATATGACATCTGCATCCGCAACATCACGGGAAACATGCACAGAGACCGCGAATCGCTGTATGCGGCAAGACCATATAATACATGGTAATTCGTATCAAGTATCAACGCTAAAAGTATGTGCGTGGTGTTATGACTTATGATGTAAAAATTAAATTAGGTAAATGATCTCATATTGTTTCATTTTAACCGTCACGATGCATCGTTCGTCTCTTACGGTAACTTTCCACTTGCCACACGAAATATTTGTAAATCACAGTGTACGTACTGTAACGTGGTCAAGAGCACGAAAAGTATTGAGGATTTAAATATTACAAATAATTATAGATTGGTTTAATAATAATATAAAATTTATTTTAATTTACCAACACGGTTTAACAAAATGTAGGGTTGTCTCGGAGTTCGGGTGCACGTGATGGTAATCGCGGAAAATTACCGTTCTCTTACATATTGGAATTTGGCTATATCCTTACAGAAACAAATGTGGGGAAAAAAAGAGGGACTTAATATCTGGTCAGCATATTATACACGTTGTGTTTATATAAAATATATATATATATATACTTACTAAATAACCCTAATGTGCGAATGTGCCTAATGTACATTTTAATTATAAAATGATGTAATAACTAATAACCGTTACAGTACGATATAGCGATTTATATGGGTACCTATATTCAGCGTGGATTTTTACGGATTAGTTATGGCGAGGATTGTTTTGCAAAAGAAAAAGTAATTAATCAATCATTTTTTTCACTCAATTTTTTGTATTATTTTTTTTTTTTTATAAAACATTTCTAAATAAAATATATAATTTATTTAAGAGTTCGAATTAATTGATACTTATATATCTATCCATGGGCGCCCCATTAATGCAATATTAATGGGGGTAGACAAAGGTAAAATATGTTAAAAAAAGTCTCAAAATATAAACTAAATAAATTTTAATCTCCAGGGAAGGGCAAGTGCCCCCTATACACTCCACTTCTCCCCATGGGCACTCATGTATCCATCATATTATACTTAAAACTTTTCCCTATTACTAAGTACTATGTATTAATCGTTTCACTTCCATTATGACCTTGATTAGTATAGGTATTTATAAACAAAAAAAAATTGTCACGATTAAATTGAAGTATTTAAATTAAACGCGTTTCTTATTAAATAATTATACTATCATAAATAGTAGGTATACTAATGAAAATAATATGTTAAATTATGAGAAATAAAATAAAACATAAATCCCTGGCCACAATCTAGAACTTCAAGAAAAAAGTAAATAATAATAAACGGTCTGAAAATCGTCGATCAGTTAATTCGATAGTATTCTGAATTATGAATATTATGATTGTATTGAATATTATAGTCTATAACTATGAATTAATTACATATCTTTATGAAGGAAATTTAGATTGGTTTTAGATTAACAAAATTTATTTTTGTAGGTATATTCTAAAATGACGTACCTAATGGCTAATGTACTTTACATTTTAATATACCTATATATAAACATGAAGTATTACTGTAGATTATCATCAAATTATATAGGTTATATTAAAATACTAAATATTAACATCTATAAAAATATAGACCTTAGTATTATAAGCTATTTAAATTTTTTAAATATAGATGTTGATAATGATGGGTGAAAAAAACAAAAACACATGTAAGTACACAAAATCTGTTAATGTAATTTCGAAAGATGACATTATTTTTTTGGCACAAATAAGGCTTGGTATCCTTAAGAACTAATTTTAACTACAATTTAAAAACTATGTCATCAATTTAACGAAATATCATTAATCATTACTTTGCTAAAGACATTAAAACATTTTAAATAAAAGTATAAAAAGAGGTATTGTCGTTTCATTATGATTGGATCCTTAATAGGGTAATCACAAGAAAAGAGAATATCTCATAACAAATGAATTTCAGTATCAATGTTTTTAAGCATACAAAATTTAATAATAATGTACAATTAAACTAATAACAAAATTACCTATTTATATGGCATTGTGTATCATTTATATAATTATATTATATAGAGTAACATATATTATAGAATAATATTAATATTGTTTTAGGACATTATAATATAATATCATTATACAGTAATAAATTAAAAGTACAGAGTTTTGGAAGCTGTACAACATAGGTATAACATAAGATGATTATCTGAAATATTTATTTTTAATATTATTTATATAATATATATATATATGTATGATATAACTGTTTGTATACAATTATCGTTTAACAAATTTTCGAGATAATCAATCCTTTGAAATTGACACGTATCCTTTTTCATAGAATACTCACATCACTGTTAACAATATTATATATGGCATGAGCAGGTAATTATTGATTAATTCCGTCACAGGGAGTCGAAATTCGATGTGTCACTACCCTGTAATATAAAATA